AATTTTTTGCCTTTTTATTTCTCATTCTTTCCTGAGTGTATCGTGAAGTTTTCCGGAAGTTACATGAAGAATGATATTGAATCAGATTGAATAGAAAAGTAGGTATGAGAATCAAGCTGTCTTATTAAGTCAGACTGTGAAGAGATTTATGACACTAATTTTTTCTTTTCTAATTCTTTTTTTGTTTTGGAAAATATAGGTAGTTTTCATTTAAAAGGTTATTTATTTTAACATGAAAAGGTTTACTATTATTATTTTAATTGAATCAATCAATCGAGAATTTTAAAAGTATCTCAGTTTTAACTCTAATATGATAAATGTCAATATAAACAACTTACATAAACAAAAGGCATTTGGGGTCCTCAATGATTCTTAGTGTAAATGGGTTCTGAGATCAAATAGTTTCAGAACCTCTGATTTATACTTTACCCTGGTGATCCCATTCAAACACACATGCTATAAGTTGAACTATGTAATTAAGAGGTGATTGTTCTAAATATTTATTTTAGGGGGGAAAAAAAAAACCAGTAACTAAGAGCAGCTGGGCATGGTAGCATACACCTATAGTCCCAGCTACATGGGAGGCTGAGGGAGGAGGATTGCTTCTGCCTAGGAGTTTGAGGCTGCAGTGAGCTATGATCACATCTCTGTATTCCAGCCTGGGTGACAGAGTGAGACCCCATTTCTAAAGAAACAAAATAAAAATAATTAAGAGGAGGTTATACTGGAGTAGGGTGGGCCTCTAATTCAATATCACTGGTATTTTTATAAAATAAACACCATGTGAAAAGACAGATAGGCACACAGGGAGAATGCCATGTGAAGGTTGAAGTTATGCTGCGACAAAGCAAGACACTACAAGAATCTAGGAGAGAGGCCTGGCACAGATCCTACCGTAGACTCTTCAAAAGGAGCATGACCCTGCTGACACCTTGATCTTGGACTTCTAGCCTCCAGAACTGTCAGACAACGTATATCTGTTGTTCGAAGCACCTAGCTTGTGGCATATTCTTATGGAAGCCCTGGCAAACTAGTACACTGTAACTTTAATCTTCGAATAAAAACCAATGATCCCCAAGCCGATATGGTTAGTTTAGACTTCTTTGCTGAGTTTCACAATCACATATACCATATGGCTTCTTAGGCATTTTCCATCTTTACAAGGTATCTGAAAACTAAACATGTTTAAAATGATACCAGTCATTGTAACTCTCCTGAGAAAATCTGCTCTATTCCTGAATTTGCTTTCTCTGTGAAGTGTACCATCTTCTTTAACACTTGCCTCCTTTGATTTACACATCCAATCAATCATCAGCACCTGTCAATTCTATCCTTTAACACCCTCTCATGATGGTTAATTTTATATGTCAACTTGGCTGGGCCACAATGTCCAGATATTTGGTCAAACATTATTTTGGATGTTTCTGTGAGGGTGTTTTTGGATGAGATCAACATTTAAATCAGTGAACTTTGGGTAAAGCGGTTTGTACTCCATGCTGTGGGTGGGCCTCGTCCAATCAGTTGAGGGTCTGACTAGAACAAAGACTGACATCCCCCAAGCAAGAGAGAATTCTGCAGCAGATGGTTTTCAGACTTGAACTGTAGCACTGGCTTTCCTCTGGGACTCTAGCCTGTCCTCCTGCCTTGCAGAATTTAAACCTGCCAGCTTCTATAATCACTCGAACCAATTCCATAAATCTGTGTGTGTGCATGCGTCTGTAAACACACACATCTTATTAGTTCTGTTTCTCAAAATAACTCTGACTAATATACCCCTTGCTGCTTTTTAAATCTCACTGTCACTGTATTAGTTCAGGCCACCATCATCTCTTGTCAGGACTATGACAATATCCTCATAACCTCTATTTCCTTAGGGCTTTCCCCTTCCAATACATTGTTTCTGCTTCTGTCAAAATGACCTTTCAGGCTGGGAGGTTGCAGTGAGCTAAGATCATGGCACTGCACTTCAGCCTGGGAGACAGTGAGATCCTGTCTTAAAAAAAAAAAAAAAAAAAAAACCCAAAAAACAAAACAAAACAAAAACAAAATGATCTAAGAAACCTGACTATGTACATCACTTTCTAGTTTATAAACATTCACAGGCTTCCCATAGCTTTCAGGGTAAGACCCTTGGCATAGCAGAAAAGAAAGAAAGATACCATTAGGAGAAATAGATGATGGGTTGATGGGTGCAGCAAACTACCATGGCATGTGTATACCTATGTAACAAAACTGCACATTCTATAAGGGTACTGCAGAACTTAAATTTAAAAAAAAAAAAAAAAGAAAGAGAGCTCACAATCTGTCCCCCACTATCTCTTCCAGTTTCTTCCCCAGCTACTCCTCCCTGCACATAAAGGAGCTAACTTTCAGAACTTTTTTTTTTTTGAGACAGAGTCTTGCTCTGTCACCCAGACTGGAGTGCAGCACTATGATACTGCAACCTCTGCCTCCCAGGTTCAAGTGATTCTTCTGCCTCAGCCTCCCGAGTAGCTGGGACTACAGGTGCGTACCACCATGCCTGGCTAATTTTTGTATTTTTAGTAGAGACGGGGTTTCACCATATTAGCCAGGCTGGTCTCGAACTCCTGACCTCGTGATCCGCCCACCTCAGCCTCCCAAAGTGCTGGGACTACAGGCGTGAGCCACTGTGCCCAGCCACCTTCAGAACTTTTCTACTGAATTCTTCACTTTCTCAATGATAACTTCCTGTAAATACATATTGCCATGCTGTACTCTAGTGCTTACCTCCTAATAGAGTGACTACAGTCATGACCAGTTTTCCTGATTCTAATTACAAAGTTTGTTTGCTAAATTATGTTGATATTATTCTATTTTAACACAGCTTTTTACATAATATTACTGTTTTTCTTCTGTTAAAATGTTATATTTGTTTCCTGGGTGGAAGATACAAACTATAGTCAATTCCTGAAAATGTTTATATATTTTAAAAGTACGAAGACTAAACTTAACGGTATGGACATTACCTTAGAAGATTAGACATTAAGAGACATTACTGCAAAATACTTGATAATGATTGTTATAATTAATAATTATACTTAAAAACACATAATTAACTCTGGTTACACACTGCCTGGGTTCAAATCTTAATTCTACCTCTATCTGTGTGACCTTGGGCAAGTTACTTAACTTCTCTGTGCCCCCGTTTTGTCATTTTAAAATGAGATAGTAGTACTTTCCTAATAGGGTTCTATGAGGATTAAATTGGCTTCTAAATGCAAAATTCCTAGAATAGTTCTTGGTGAGTAGCAAGTGCTATATGTTAGTTGTTGTTGTTATCATTTTCTCCTGACAGTGGCATCAGTAAATGGAAAGATTCTATAGTGAGACAACTTGGATTCTAATCTTGGTGCTAGTACTTCCTATTTGTGTGACCTTGGCCAAGTTCCTTAATTTCTATTAGCCTCAGTTTTCTATCTGTAAAATGAGATGATAATAATACCTACCTCATAGAGATGTCGTGAGGATTGACTTAAAATATGTAAAAGTGCTGGGCGCAGTGGCTCATGCTTGTAATCCCGGCACTTTGGGAGGCCGAGGCAGGTGGATCACGAGGTCAGGAGTTCAACACCAGTCTGGCCAACACAGTGAAACCCCGTCTCTACCAAAAATACAGAAATTAGCTGGGTGTAGTGGCAGGTGCCTGTAATCCCAGCTACTTGGGAGGCTGAGGCAGGAGAATCACTTGAACCCAGGAGGCAGAGATTGCAGTGAGCCGAGATCGTGCCACTGCACTCCTGCCTGGGCGACAGAGCTAGACTCCGACTCAAAATAAATAAATAAATAAATACGTAAAAGTCTTACAACCATGCTTGGCATATGGTCAATATTATAGAGTGCTTGCAATTTTTACTATTGTTATCTTCAGTAATACATGGTCCATATTAATCATATTACCTTGTATCTTGTTCAGATTTTGTTTTGTTTTGTTTGTAAATTCTCTAAACCTCAGGTGACAAAGGCTATCTATGCATGCTTTTTTATTCTTAAATTTTCAGTGTGCAGATACCTGATACCAATCACTTTCTTTTTTTGCCCTCTCTTCTTTAGAAAGTAAACCAACCAAACCAAACAACTCACCAACAATATACAGTCACTCTTGCTAACCAATAAAACAACTAACTTTATTTATTTATTTATTTATTTATTTATTTATTTGAGATAGAGTCTTGCTCTGTCGCCCAGGCTGGAGTACAATGGCACGATCTTGGCTCACTGTAGCCTCCGCCCCCCAGTTTCAAACAATCCTCTCACCTCAGCCTCCTGGGCAGTTGGGATTACAGGTGCCTGCCACCATGCCTGACTGATTTTTGTATTTTTTGTAGAGATGGGGTTTCACCCTGTTGGCCAGACTGGTCTTGAACTCATGACCTCAAGTGAACCTCCCGCCTCGGCCTCCCAAAGTGCCGGGATTACATGCATGAGCCACTGTGCCTGGCCTCAAACAACTAACTTTAAACTATATAGACATACCAGCATCTTGTGCTTAGGTTCATAGCTGTGCGAGATGCCTTTCCCTATTTTATTCAACTTGTAATAGTGCTGTCAATATCTCTTAGGACTTAAAATGTTCAAGCCTCCAAGAAAGACTGTTAACTGTTACTGCACTGTCAACAGACATGTGCCAACAAAATGAAGTTAAAAGCTAAGGCTTATCTCCCCATACCAGTTCTTCACATTTCATCTCACCCTCTTCTTCCCTCCCCACTGCCTCATCCAGAATATAATATACTATGGTAAGAAAAGTAGGGAGAAAAACACTATCTCAACAAAATAACATCTTGCGTTGGTTATTAAAAATCCTGAATGCTCAGTGTAGGGATATATGAAATACAGACAGCATCATGAGAGAAATTTGGCACAAGTAACTAATACTATTGTGAATTTTCTATGACAATGTATGTCATAATCCAAAAATAAATAACTGCAATTATTTTGTACTTTTTGCATTTTTATAAAAATTGGAAATATTTTCATACCTTTGTTTATGTCAATGAGTTGTTTCTTTTTCTTCTGGCGTTCTAACTTTTCTTGTTCAGCTTTCTCTTTCGCAAGTTTTGCCCTCCTGGTCTTCTCTTCCATTTCTCTTCTCTTATTGTTTTCTCTCACTGCTTCCTATACATATAAACAAAGTTAAACAAAAACCTTTCCATTACTTATATAATGGAGAAGTTTTACAGTTTTAAATTTGTATAAATATGCAGAGATGGGAAGGTATTACAGCAGCTGGAAGGTGCATACATATACTTTTGAGAGAGACAATTAATTGTAAAATGTCTGTTCTTGAAAAAAGATTTAGAAATAACTCAGTCTTCAATTGCCATTACCTAGGGTGCCAGAAAATTAAGGACATCAATGTTACAGATTTAACAATAAATACGCTTTATCTGTTGTTAAAATATGAACTAGTTTGACACATGAGAAGACATAGTAAGGAAATATGACTCAGCAAGTATTTTATCCCCTTTATTGGATACTTTGCTGTTATCTGCAAAATTGAGATTAATAAAAAAACTACCTTATAGGATTTTTGTGAGGAAAAATGATACGAACATAAAGTGCTTAGAATAGATCCTGATATATTACAATCAAGGAATTTTAGTCTATGATGATGATGGTGGTGGTCCTGGTGCTGGTGATAATGATTACATCTAATCATGCAGGGCATGAAACAGCAGTATTATCACAGAAAAGAAATACCTTCAAATATGACAGCTTTTTACATGCCAAAATATTTAGAAATGCTGAAACATATTTCAAGCTATCATCTGTTTGATTTTGGATAGATTATTTGTGGAACATAGGCGAATGAGTACATTCCAGCAAATGGTATTAGAGAAAGCTGAATTAATGTGATCAGCTGGAATATCAACTTCCTTTGAGTTCAGATAAATCACGAATGCAGAGACATATCAACTACAAGTTCCTTCCATCAAGTTGCTCTGTTTCTTTTATGATTGATTAAAAATACTTCATAGCATGTACAAACTATTTCACAAAAACTATTTTGTTCCAGAAACCCTAAAGAAAAAGACTCAATAACAAGAATACATCTACAAGGCTTTGCCTGGAGGGGTTTACATGGAAATAATTTTTTTCTTTATGTTAAAAGACACAGTAGTTTAAAATAGCCTTAAAAACACTTTCAAAATTCTCCTGACGTGCAAGAATTGATTTCTTCCTAAAAAATCTAAATTATTTTACCTTCACTGGTACCTCCCCTTTCTCCCGTCATTGTTTTTGTGCTCTTAGACTCCATAGCAATAGGCTAGGAGCACAAAGGCACCTGGCTATTGCAGACGAACTCAAAGACTACCACTTAAAAATAAACTGGCATACTAGAATCATAATTTTAAAGCAGGCTTTCTCAACCTCAGCACTACTGTCACTTCAGGCTAGATAATTCTTTGGTAGGAGCTGTCCTGTGCATTGTGGGATGTTTAGCAGCATCCCTGGCCTCTACCTGCCAGATGCCAGTATGATCCCACTCCAGTTGTGATAACCAGAAATGTTTCCAGAAATTGCCAAATGTTACATGGAGGAAAAACTTGCCCCAGGCTGAGAACTACTCATGTAAGGGATTTTATAAAAATAATTTTTTCACAAAAAATTAGCATCCACTCTGTTAAACCAAGCTTCCTTTTACAGATGTGGAAACTGAATTCTGAATGAGTTTAAGTACTTGGCTAAGGTCACACATTTATGTAATTACAAGGCTGGAAGGGAACACTGGTTTAGTGTTTGTTTTATTGTACAAGGAAGAAAAGAAAATGTGGATGTAACATCAAAAGCGTAAGTAACAACAAAAAATAGATAAATAAGGCTTCATCAAAATTAAAAACTTTTGGCCATCAATAAGCACTGTCAAGGAAATTAAGAGACAACCCAGAATGGTAGGAAATATTTGCAAATCATGTATCTGATAAGAATATATAAGAAGGGCCAGGCGCGGTGGCTCACGCCTGTAATCCCAGCACTTTGGGAGGCTGAGGTGGGCAGATCACGAGGTCAGGAGTTAGAGACCAGTCTGGCCAGTACAGTGAAACCCCGTCTCTACTTAAAAAAAAAAAAAAAAATAGCTGGGCATGGTGGCACATGCCTGTAGTCCCAGCTACTCGGGAGGCTGAGGCAGGAGAATTGTTTGAACCTGGCAGACGGAGGTTGCAGTGAGCCAAGATTGTGCCAAGATTGTGCCACTGCACCCCAGCCTGGGCAACAGAGCGAGACTCCATCTCAAAAAAAAAAAAAAAAAAAAAAAAAGAATACATAAGAAGCACTTAAAACTTGACAATAAAAAGACAAATAACCCAATTAAAATGGGCAAAGAGTTTGAATAGATATTTCTCCAAAGGAGATAAACATACATACAATAATCACATGAAAAGATGCTCACCATCGTTAATCACTAGGGAAATGCAAATGAAAACTACAGTGAGGTACCACTTCATAGCCACTAGGAGGGCTATAATTTCAAAATAAAAAAAAAGATAATAAGTGAGGATGTGAAGAAATTGAAACTCCTGTGCATTGCTGGGGTAAATGTAAAATGGTGGCCATTTTGGAAAACAGTCTGGCAATCCTTTAAAATGCTAAACATAGAGTTACTATATGATCCAACAATTCCACACCTAGATATATACCCAAAAGAAAATAGATGTTCATACAAAAACATGCACAAGAATGTTCATAGTAGCATTATTCCTAATAGCCAAAAAGCAGAAACAACCCAAATGTCCATCAATGGATGGATAAACAAAATGTGATATATATCCTTACAATTGAATATTATTCAACCATAAACATAATGAAATGCTGATACATGCTAAAACATGTATGAACTTCACAAACATCATGCTAAGTGAAAGAAGCCAAATACAGGTCACATATTGTATGATTCCACTTATTTGTAATGTCCAGAATAGGCAAATCCACAGAAACAGAAAGTAGATTAGTGGTTGTGAGAGGGTGGATGAGAATAAACTGATAATGAATATGGAGTTTCTTTTGTGGGTGGTGGTGGGGAGGTGATGGAAGTATTCTGGAATTAAGATAGTGGTGATGGTTTCACAGCCTTATGACATACTAAAAACCACTGATTTTTCTTTTCTTTTCTTTTCTTTTTTTTTTTTTTTGAGATGGAGCCTCGCTCTGTTGCCCAGGCTGAAGTGCAACGGTGTGATCTCGGCTCACGGTAACCTCCGCCTCCTGGGTTCAAGTGATTCTCCTGCCTCAGCCGCCTGAGTAGCTGGGATTACAGGCATGCACCACCACGCCCGGCTAATTTTTGTACTTTTAGTAGAGAAGGGGTTTCATCACGTTGGTTAGGCTGGTCTCAAACTCCTGACCTCAACTGATCAGCCCGCCTTGGCCTCCTAAAGTGCTGGGATTACAGGCGTGAGTCACTGCACCCGGCCAAACCACTGAATTACATACACTACAATGGTAAATTTTATGGTACGTAAATTATCTCGATAAAAATTAATCACATTAATAAATAGATGTCTAAGAAAGACAGGATGGAAGTAAAATTGTAACTCAAAAGGGAAAAAACAATGTGAAAAGGCATCACATATTCAGGCCCTGATACTAATAAGCTATATGATGTTTGGCAAGTAACATGAAAAGAGGCAAGTAGCAGAGGAAAGAAAGAAGGCTAATGCTTGTATATATTTTATTAGTGGTCAAATCTCTGATTTGGTAAACAGTCACCAAGATCTGGGTGGACTATTAGATTATCAATCTAATGGGTTGTTTAGATGCTAAGTGCTGCCATTAGGAATCCTCAGTAAAAGTTTATTAAATGGAGGGAAAAAAACCACTGGTTACTTGCATTTGTATTTCTTCTTTGTTCTGATAATGACAGCTACTCTTTAATGGAACTCTATTACGTACCAGGTGTTTTAAACATTATCTAGTCTTAAATACATACTTTGTAATCTTTATAGAAAACCTGCAAAGTAGGTATTATTTGTTCCATTTTATACATGAAATTTAGGTTCAGGTAGGCTAAGTGACATACCCAAAGCTACACAGCTTCTTAAGTAACACAACCATTTAGGATTGTTTGGCATTAGCCTCTACGTTCATTTTCACTATCAGGATGCCCCCCAAATAGAGTTGCCAGATAAAATACAGGCTTCTCAGTTAAATTTAAATTTCAGATAAACTGTGAATACTTTTATTAGTAGAAGTATGTCTCATATAATATTTGGAACATACTTAAATAGAAAAAATCATGTAATATTTAGGATATGTTGATACTAAAAAATTATCCGTTATCTGAAATTCAGCTTCAACTGAGAATCCTCCTATATTTTCATTTGATAAACCTGGCAGTCCGATTCCCAAGACTGTGTTGATATTTTATAAGCATCCTTTGATAGACTAAGATCATCTAATAAAGACAGTAGAAATGATTACAAAAAGAAATGCCCAAATCAAAACCACATTTTGAAAATAGAAATGTTGATATAGATTATTGATAAGCATTATATTGTACATGAACTTGAATCATGCTATTTCTGTAGCATTCTCCATATATTTATTATTTCTGGAAAATATGTTAAAACTAAAAAAAGTGTTCATATAAAAATCAAACTGATACAATTTGCGATAGAAGAAAATAAGGCAAGAGATTAAATTTTTATATGAGAGGGAGGCTTGCAACAGGCACTGCTAAAACAACATGAATGTAGATCTAGTAAAGGATAAAGCAGAACAAGTAATAGGTCTATCAGTTTATATCTGAAATGTTTCAGGAATACATTTAACTACAAAACAATCACAATTTATAATGGCATGTGTAATCTTTAAGAGGCCAAAACAGAATTTAAAAAATCATTTCTGTGGTTTGGCATTATTGACAGTAAATGAAAACATCTACAAAGGCATATATTTTTCAAGCAACACAGACTAGAAAATGATTCTGGTCCTGATGTCACTGGTGCTGTTTTCATGAAAAGGCCTCATGCTGAAAAGAATAACATATTCCTCTTGGTGTTTTTACTTGGCTCTGGCTTTAGGAAATTAGGGATAGAAAATACATGCTTGTTTAATTCTCTTTCCTTAGGAAATAATTTTAAAAGAGAAAGGGAAATCTTAAAGATACTTTCATA